GGAAAGTGACCACAAAAGGCTGGGAAAAAATGTCCGTTGACATCGAAAAGGGGGACAAAAAAGCATCAATAGCACTTGATAAAGATGCCATTATATGGAAATTATGGAGTCAAGTGTCCAAGTCTATGGTCTTTATAAAAAAGAATGAAGCTAAAGCAAAAGCAAGGTATATTTTTCAACCGACTAAGGCCATTCCAATATTGCACAGATTTTTCACGTTTTGGCCTCTATAACCCAGTTTGAGCTCAAGACTCAAACTATAGGATTTTTTTCCCAATTAATTTAGTTTCCAAAATCGAGGCAAAGGGTATAACTTGAAGAATTCCTCTTTAGAATAGCGCACTACAAGAAAATGAGAAGTCACAAGAAGTTTCTAATGACAAAAATAAATCGATCGCTACATACTACTATAACAACAAGAAGTTTTGTCATTACCATTTAATTGTGGACGATGAAATATTAATACTGTAGTAAACATATTTTCACAACAATAATTTGTTGTTAAAATATGCATCTTCAACAACAAATTGTTACGTTGTCGTTGAAAGTATCAAAAAATTAGTGTCATCAATCCTTAGTACTCGTGCAAAATAATTTGTTGACGAGGGATATACATTCTATGACCATGTGTTTTGTTGTTAAAAAATATTTTGAAGAATAAAAGTTTGTCATCGTTAAACGTACTAAATATTAGCAAGCATACTCGGTGTTTCCGCTTAAAATATTTGCAACCAAATATAAATATTCGACTATCATGATATTTGTTTTTGAAAACTACATTCAATGATAAAAGTTGGTGCTCGCACATTGCATTCCCACTAAAAAAACTTTTGTTGACAAGGGTTGAAAATTGCAGAGAAATTGGTTGTCATGTGAATGTAGAAATGGGGGTGTCTTTCATTGAAAGAGCTCAAAATTTTTTAAACCAATTGAGGAAGTCTCGATGATCATGTTTCTTATGTGAAAATGAGGTGTTTCAACATTTAGAATTAACGATTCAAGTTTATCTTTTGGTTTATTGATCCGGGTGGTTGTACGTTGACGTTTCATGGAAAAAGGTACTTTATCGTCACACTGAAATGATTAATTCAATGATAAATATATAAGATACTTCAAGATACAGAAGTGGTTGATCTCATATATAGAAGAACAAAGATTGACTTCTGATTTTACTCGATGTGGGATTTAAACTAATCCTATTATATATATGAGAAAACAAAAGGCTAATTAAAATAGTATGTTAGATTTTGTTTAAAGCCACAAAACAAGAGTGGGCATTTACTCCTGTTAAAGTGTGGACCACTTTGCCACTGACCATACCACTTTCTTGTTTTTGCAAAATGCATCGAGATCACGATGTGTTGGCTTCCATTTGAGGTTAGGCAAGCTCTCGAGTTCAATTTCAAGTTCTTTGATGTATTGTCTAATCATGAAGACTAGTCTCTCCCGCTCAACTTCTTATAACTCAAGTTGACAATTTCTAGCTTGGCTACCCTCTTCGTTGTCCTAAGATGATGAATTCAGCAAGTTATGCCTCTATTTAAGTTTCTAAATTGAATTTGAAGCTCTTCTTTTGGACTCTAACTTGATCAATCACTTGACTTTAACCGTAGTCGTCCTTACGACGCGGACTTGGTGGATGATCATCATGTGCCACATGGACTTGGCTACAACGAAATGAGGAGTAAAGATGGAAATTGACATTTGCCAGAAAGTGGGCACAGTCACGTTCCACCACTGACCAATACCATTAATTTAGAACTCTATCGTGGTACCAACTTAAGATTTCAGAAAACCCTATTACTGTTGATAATATCAAAATCACTTGCTTAGTTCTGTGCCTTCAATTTATTTTACAATCGGGTGTGAAAGTGAAACTCATAGTTCAATATTCAATCACCTGTCTGGAACTAACACACACACTTCAAATATTCCAGTTTTATCAGCCCCTCATGGGACGACCGAGTTGGTGGAGTAGAGGAGCACGAAAATCTTTGGTCACGAGTTCGATTCCCTCTACCAACACATTTTCGGTCAGGCCTGTCGAATCGAGTTTGCCTAGTGTGATTTACTTGGTTGGCGTGGTTTGCAGACTATTGCATCAGTCCGAAAATTTACCCTGTGCGCACTCGAAGGGTAACGGTTGCGGTTCCCCATCATAAAAATAATAATAATAAATAAATAAAATTCCAACTTTATCAAGATAATTAGTCCTATCTCATGCAGAAATGAATTAAACAAATTGTCCTAGAAAGAATACAAATAATTTTTTACATCAATAATATTTGTTTAAAAATAACCAAATCCTCTAAAAGAGAAGTGTAATCCCCCTTTCAATGCATATGCGAATATTTTTCAGTATAATCAAATAAAAATATCATAGAAGAAAAAGACAAAATAAAGAATAAGAGTACATGATGGCATCAACTTTAAGGAAATGATTTAACCCTAGAATCGATGCCAAAATTCATGTTTGCCCAAAATAATGCATTCATTTGCATGTGAAATGTACGAAAAAATTCCAAGAAAGTGGGTCATTCACTGTCATTCAGAAAAATATAGAGATGGTAAGAGAAAAAGTTAGGCTTCTCTCCACAAAATTTTATTCCTGCATAGCCCTTAAGTGCTAAATGTTCAAATTTTTTATGAACGCATTATTGACTTGTTCGACAAAGTGAATCATGTACTGTCTAGTCCCGTCCAATAACATGTATTGTTATGGAAAATGATAAAGAACTTAGGGACGTTTGTTTCTTATTTTTTTAAAAATAAAAATGAAAAATATAGACGTTATGAGCCTCGCGCAAGAGATAGAAATTCAAATTTGATGATTTGATGTGATGAATAATAGTCATATTTTTCATTTTAATGAGAAAAGAATGAGAAACAAATATGAGCTTAGTTTGTTGGACATGACTGATGATTCACTTTTGCATTTGCTGAGTTCAAGAAGACGTTCAAAGTCTGGTGAGACCCTGTGCTTGGAAAGTGAAAGAGTAAAAGTAAAGAAGGATCATGTGATAATGGGAAACAGTTGTCTGATATTTCCAAAAGGTTGACTTTGTTGAGACTGTCAAAAACCAGTATCCCACATTGATTACTGAGGTGTTCGGACATTTAGCGTTTGTTTCGTAAAATGTTTTTTAGCATAAAAAAATTGAAAAATAATTCTCAACGAATTAAAATCAAACCACAATCTACATGGACCACTATACCTTGACAATGACTAAAGCAAAAGCTATATCCCTCTCTCATCAGATTGATTGCTGGCTACTAGTGGTGTTGTCACCAGAGTATGGGGAGAGTATAATAAGAAGATGCTCCTCAGTGAGGTGGGTTGGATTGGGCCCATTTCACGAGGCAATTTGACACCATGCTATGAGATTTCATTTCTTAAAAAAAAAAAAAATTAACCCCAACTTTGAGGGCCCCTACCGCCCTTTCGTAGGACTTTGCGAGAGAGATAAATTGCGGGATATGTCCCAACAGATCAGGAAACAAGAGTTGCATGTACACTGCGCCTACAAGGAGTCCAATTTCATGTTTCGGGAATCGAACCCCGCACTGTGGCTGCCAACAAGGCGTAATATAACATGTAAAGAAAACACGTTATGAAAATTTACTCTTAATTCATGCTAATTTACTAGTGCCTACTATTGGAGGAATTTTGTGAATAGTGACGTCAAAATAAGTATAATGATGGTTTGTAAATTCGTGCCGAAAATTGGACAGAGTAACGGCAAAGAAAACACAAACAAGAAGAAGAAGAAAGTAGGGACAAAGTCGAGGCAATAGTTAGACTCTTTGTCCTTAAGTCGAATTTGCCCCGCAACGGTGCCTACGGATTTCGGCAATCGACTCCCAAGATACAACGGCTACACTTGTGTTTGTAGCACTCCAAAACACAAGTACAACGAACCAAATTTAGGCTTATGTACTCCAAGGATGAAATGAAGGAAAATCAAAATAAATAAAATGATTTTGATTTTGGATAGAAGAGAGGATAAGAGATGTTTTGCATATCAAATTGTGAGGAATAGGACACCCAAAGGGTCCTATTTATAGATCATGAAAGGGTGTGGATGAAATGGTTGAGGCCAAACCATGCACCCTTTCCAAACAATGCACCTTTATGAAAAGGTGTCTATTCACCGGACAACCGTGCGGTCGCACGGTTTTACTCAAAAAATCGGAATTGAATTTGACGTGTGATCGCGCGGTTTACCAACCATGCGGTCGTACGGTCAAATATTTTGACCTGATTTTCGTCCTTTTTCGTAATTTCTCATTCATCTGATATTGGTTTTCGAAATGCCAAATATACCCTTCAATACATGCAGAGAAATCAAAATTCTCTTTCGGGGGCGCTGCCCCCTCGACCCCCGCGACCTAATCGGGCAGGTCGATCTCCGTTTGTGCGCTCCGAAGCGGCGAAGTGGCAAACAATTTTGCCTAAACGGATTAAGTCGAACTTTTGAGTATTTGGCCGAAGTCGATACGAAGTCACTTTAATCGATTTTCAATTCTCGATTTATTTAACCAATATCCAACACCTACGAAATTTTACGGATTACTATATGTTTGTCGCTTTTTTCACACTTTATGTATGAAAAGAATATCAGAGCGAGCCGAAAGAAAAGAAGTAAATAGACGATTAGATTCGGAACATCCAGCCAGTAGTGCCTTCTTTTGGATGTATTTATACCAGCCATTTACCATATGCTTCCTCCACTCCCAACACCCAACAAGAACTCTCTCTCTCTCTCTCTCTCTCTCTCTCTCTCACAGACCTAAACACAAACTCATAGACTACATAAGCCTCTTCAAGGTACAAGGTAAATTGAAATATGAAGCAGAACTTCCTTCCAGTTTTGCTTCTCTTCCTCATTGTTTCCCTTTTCAGCAACTCATACTCAACTGCCCGCAAGTTGGCTATCACAAATAAACAGGGTAAGAAATAAAACACTGAGATGTAATTTTTGCCTCAGGTTTCTCTTCCTCATTGAAAAATAATAATAAAAAGTTCATCTTTGTTCAGGAGAAGCAGGTGTGAATCTCAACAAGATCAGCAACAGGGATTTTTATCTCCAGAAGGAGACCGTTAATTCTTTTGATGTAATTTCCTATAATACCTTCTTCAAATTTCCAAATTATTAATAATATTGTCGAGTTCTGTGTATCGAGCACGTTTCTTCTTAGGTGTTCTAATTGTAACATAATTTTGCAGAAGGTGACGGAGGCTGAGGAATGTCCAAACAAAGATGAAGAGTGCTTGAGAAGGGTTCTATTAGAGGCTCACCTGGATTACATCTACACACAGCACCATAAACCTTAGATATCCCAGAGAAATAAACAAATTAAGGGCCAGTTCAAGAACAGCTTTCACAAGTTTTTAGCTGCTTTAAAATGTCTTTTATTTAGCATATTATTTTAGAATTTATTCCTAAAGTATATGTATAAAAATGGAGATTCTCCCACCATGTTCTAGTAGTTGCCTTTCGATTCCTCCTTTACTCTTGATCAGTCATGATCGGAGATGCTATTATTAATATATAGAAGAATATTTGTTATTGTTTCTGCTGGGAAAATTGTTTCCACACGTAGGAGATGGAAAAGAAACGATGAACAAATAACAAGAAAATGAAAATGAAAATGAAGGTTTAAGCACGTAATCGTTGATGTTAAACGGATTAAATTTGGTGCTTAAAGGAATTTTTGGCAAATGGTTTGTACGATTTATCAAGCCTTGAAAAAAACTAATACTTAAGCATCAGTGAAATTTTTTTGCAACTCAAGAACACAAGATTTTGAATATGAAGAGAAAAATGGATATTCAATACTTTCTAGAATCAGGATTTGATCTCAAGTGTTTCTATATCATTTGTATTGATCATCAACCATCTATCAATGCTACACGAAGTAGTGCTAAAATACATGAAATGCCACCAAAACTTCTAACAAAAGGACTCCGATCGATGAATAAAATGTTCTATGCGACCGTATAGGTCATTCAATAGCAAATCACCACGTGACCGCTAGCCTTTCTGGCCTATGCAGTTGCATGGACCAATATTTCGACTTCCAGCTCCACTTTTCGTTCCACACATCGTTTCACTTATTTTTATTGATTTTGTAAAACAATTTCAACAGTTTCTTCACCGTCTCGATTAGCTTCTAAACTAATGATGAAGATAGAGCCGACTGGTTTGACATCGAATGGACCTAGTTATTGCTTGGTTTTGTGGTCGAATTTGACATGGTGTCAATTCTGTTGTTTCTAGAGTTTGACGTTACTCCTTCGAAACCAATCCGACAGAATCTCCTGAATGTAAAGATTTGATCAACAGGATGTAAAAAGTAATGCGAGCCCACCGACTTCACGATATTTCCTTAAAACGAATTTGCTGCCTTCAATGGTGCTAAAGGCATCCAGCAATCGTTTCCCAGGATAGAACGAATTTTCGTCTCCTACGGAAGCAGCACTACAATCTGCAGGAGTTCCAACGAACTCATGAAGTGTGTTTTACTTCGAGACAATATCAGAATGAGAGAGAAGGGAATGAGATTCAAAGCACAGAAGGTTTGCAATGAAAATGGTGTATATTTTCTGGTAGAGAGGCTGGCTATTTAAAGACTTGTTCGTGGTCATTCGAACAGTCATCACCTTTCAGACAAACCTCAAAATTCGAACAAACATGCTGTTTTTAAAAGTCGCGTCTGTTAAGTCGGTTAATAGTCGACTGTTAAAAGAAAATAAAACACCCGGAATAAGCTAAAATTTAAATTTTATAATGTACCCAAGAATTTGATTATTTACAATTTGGCCCAAAATTTTAAATAAATTTTGTCCAAAAAGTTAATATAGTGTAAAGGTCCACCCCAACCCCACCGGACTCAGACACGGGCACGTGCTCGTGCTTGTGCCGAGCTGAGCCGGCCGATCGGATGGACGGCCGCGACGTGGATTTATGATCGAACCCAATAGGATATAGGTCTTCCCCCTTCCAAAAATTATTGGTACCCCTTGGGGCCCAAACCCAATTCCAAACTTCCACCTTATAAACCACACCAAAGTTTCCTAACTTTCCTATGTGGGGATAAGTGTTTGGAAAATCAAATTCTTTCATAATACTTAGTTTATGTGGGTTACATTAACACTTAATATTTCATTCAATTTTAAATAATTTTCGATAAATAAATATATCACCTTAATCATCTCACGGAGTAGAACGTGAATATGCTAAGTCCCGTATTAATTAAAAGGTGGGTCCTACTGAAATTTGGGCTCAAAATTAACCCATTTCGTAACCATTTTTTCCAACAATCTCCCACATGAATGAAATATGTTGGCCTTATTACAAACGATAACATCTGATATTTTTTTGAAGAAAAAATTGAAGAAGACTGCATCGGGATAAGTAGTCAATGACTTTGAACTTTCACTAGTAAAATCTATCGAATTTCCTTAGCCAATCAGTAGTAAGTTACTTTGAACAGTCAACCGTTTATGGAAACCTAAACAATAGAAGTCACATAATTTTCTTCGAACACAGTTTGATGCAAACCCCATAGCAATGGAAACTACGAAACCCACAAAGAGATTGATGCGGAACCCAAGAACGTCAATACTAACCCGATTTTGGATCTTGAATCCCAAGAATTGAACCAAAAAAACCCTAGATTAGCGAAGAACCTAAAACGCCTTGATTACAATTAAAAAAAACCCACAATCCTATTGTTTAGAACGGCACAAGAAATTGAATCTTGATAAATTTCAAAATTGTTCAAGAAGAACAAGAAATTGAAAGAACAAATTCTCTCTTTATAATATTATTCAAACAAAAGTCCTTACAATGAAAAATATTCTCTTATTTATACTAATGAGTAAAAAAGGTCCAAAACCCATCAAATTATGGTAATAATTTGATTTCATAAAAATTCTATCGAAACAAGAAAATTAATAAAAAAAAATAAAAAAACGAATTTTTTTTCATGTTTTTGTTCTATGCGGCCGCATAGTGTTAATCTATGCGGTCTCATAGAACAAGTCACTGCCTCCAATATTATCCCTGAGGCCATCTATGCGATCGCATAGGTTGTTTAACCATGCGGTCGCATGGAACAATCTTCGACTTCATTTTCTTCCGTCTTTATCACGTTGATCCAAGTTCTTTCAGCCCTCAACTCCAACATGAAACTTGCTCCATTTTGCGCCCCGAACATTGTGTCTTCATTGACTTGCTTGACGAGCAATCTCATCGCTTCTTTCACTTGCTTCATCCTCGATCGCGTCATCGATCCACCTTCGACGATCAACAGATCCTTCCCGTGACTTGACGCTTGAGTTGTCTTGGTTGTTGACGCGCCTTGATTCATATCATCCCCTCCCTCTTCGAAAGGATTCGTCATCGAATCTGAACCTGCATCGAAAAGAGAAAGATCAGCGACATTAAAAGTAGCTGAAATATTATACTCACCAGGTAAATCCACTTTGTATGCATTGTCATTGATCCTCTCGATGATTTGAAACGGTCCATCGCCTCGTGGTTGCAATTCTGACTTCCTCTGTTCTGAAAAATGCTCTTTTCTGAAATGCACCCAAACCCAATCTCTAGGATCAAATGTAACGCGTTATTTTCCTTTATTTTCTTTTGATGCAATCAGTTTTCCTTTCTCTTCGATCTGCATCCTGACCTTTTCATGGAGTGTTTTCACCATCTCGATTTTTCGTTTCCCATCCAAGCTACCTCGTTCATGTACAGGCAAAGACATTAAATCTATAGGTGTTAGTGGATTAAAACCATAAACAATTTCAAAAGGAGAAAACGAAGTAGCTCGATTATATGCAAACTCTATAAACGGTAAACACTCTTCCCATGATTTCAGATTTTTATTGATCACTGTCCCAAGTAGTTGAGTCATAGTTCGATTAACTACCTCAGTTTGTCCATCTGTTTGTGGGGTGACAAGTTGTAGAAAATAATAACTTAGTTCCTAACTTACTCCACAGAACACGCCAAAAATGACTCAAAAACTTCACGTCCCTATCAGACACTATACTTTTAGGTACTCCATATAAACGTATTATTTTCCTAAAGAATAAGTCTGCAATATTACTAGCATCGTCAGTTTTATGACATGGTATGAAGTGCGCCATCTTACTAAACCTATCGACCACTACAAAAATTGAATCCCGACCCCTTTTTGTCCTAGGCAAACCTAACACAAAGTCCATAGATATGTCTACTCAAGGTTCACTAGGTACAGGCAAAGGAGTATACAAACCATGGGGTTGAACCTTAGACTTAGCCTTTTTACAAGTTATGCACTTTCCACATATTTGTTCTACGTCATGTCGCGTTTTAGGCCAATAAAAATGTTTCCCTAACATGTTTAAAGTCTTTTGAACCCCGAAGTGTCCCATTAAACCACCCCAATGAGCTCCCCTTACCAATAATTCATGCAAAGAACAATTAGAAATGCACAACTTATCTTCCCTAAACAAATATCCTTCATGCCTATAGAATTTATCAAATGCACCTTTGTCACATGAAGCATAAATACTAGAAAAATCACAATCAGATTCATACATGCCCTTAATATGTTCGAAACCAAGTAATTTAGTACTTAATGAATTTAAAAGTACGTACCTTCGAGACAACGTATCAACAACTATATTTTCATTGCCTTGTTTGTACTTGATGACGTAGGGAAATGTCTCAATAAACTTCATCCATCTCGCATGTCTTTTGTTCAACTTACCTTGACCTCGTAAATACTTTAAAGATTCATGATCGGTGTGTATCACAAATTCCTTTGGCCATAAGTAGTGCTGCCAAGTCTCCAATGCTCGAACAAGTCAATACAGCTCCTTGTCTTATGTCGGATAATTCAATGCTGCCCCACTCAACTTTTCGTTAAAGTAAGCAATAGGTCTCCTTTCCTGCATTAACACTGCTCATATACCTATTCCTGATGCATCACATTCAACCTCGAATATTTTATCAAAATTTGGTAATGCCAAAATAGGTGCTTTACATAGCTTATCCTTAATTGTGTTAAATGCAATTTCTTGAGATTCTCCCCAATGGAAACCTACACTCTTCTTTACTATTTCAGTCAACGGTGTGGTGATGGTGCTAAAATCTCTTACAAATTGCCTATAAAAACTAGTCAATCCATGAAAACTCCTAACTTCAGTTATAATCTTAGATGTTGGCCATTCTTTTATAACTTTTATCTTTTCTTCATCGACTTCCACCCCGTTAGACTAACTACAAATCCTAGGAAAACAACTCCATCCATGTAAAATGTGCACTTTTTGAAATTAGCATACAGTTGTTCCTTTCGCAACACAATAAGCCCACAATTTAAATATTCCAAATGCTCATCTAGGTTTTTGCTATAGATTAAGATGTCATCAAAATAAATTACAACAAATTTCCCAATAAAAGCACGCAAAACATGGTTCATTAAACGCATAAAATTGCTCGGTGCATTAGTGAGTCCAAACGGCATAACTAACCATTCATACAATTCATACTTAGTCTTAAACGCCGTTTTCCATTCATCACC